AGCCCTCCGGCGTGTCAGCCACTCCTCCCAGGAGTTAACCAACTAATGGAGTTAACCAACCAAATTAACCAACTAATGGAGTTAACCAACCAAATTAACCAACTAATGGAGCCCTGCCAGCACTAATGCCCCAAATATTAAGGAACAATAACATTCTGCATCAAAGATTATGACGATAATATCTTCTGACACAAATTCAGTCTCTCATCGTTAAATAAGAAACATCTGAACACCAAACATAATGCATTCAAGAAAATACAAAGTTTAGCTCTAAAGAGGGAATAGCACTGAAAGGCACAGCCTGCTTATCTGTATGCGTGGAAGATTTGTATGTGTGTAAGAAAATATTTTAGCTCTTTTGCTCTAGCATTTGAACAGTTCTCTGTTTCTCTTACCGTCCTAGAAACTGGACTTCACCTCTGTGATGATGAGGAATGGATTTGTATTTCCCTAAATCTCCCTCTGGTCTTGTTACATTGTATCCAGCATAGTGAACCCTGCAGTATAATACATAAATATTTGTATGAAAAGCATTAAAAAGATGTTTTTACAAGTTATAGCAAAAGTGAAAAATATGCATAAAATCTTTTAAAGCTAAGTCTGTGTGTTCACTGGCATTCTCTTCCCTAAAAAACCCAAAATACTCCTAATCAAACAACCAAAAAAAAACTGGTAAAGTCAATAAAGAATGAAATAATAATAATTTCATATTCAGTATTTCCTGCTTTGTTCTTAAAGCACAACAGCATGAAAATAGTAAGGAAAAAGAGTAAAAACTCTTCCTTTAAAATATATCTCTATATATAAACTCACACAGACACTTTGTTTCAACAGTTGAACTGGAACATTTTACACTTGTTTACTGTGAGCAGTTAGTAACACAGCGAGCACTGTTGTCCACTGTCAATTTGTGACTATCAGCGTAGTCACAAATTAGCCTCTCTCTCAAACACTGCTCCTAAAATATGAGAGGTACTTAAACTCATGCTTACTTTACATGTCTGTGGGATGGTATTCCATAATGCTAGCAGCAAGAGAGATATAAATTAAAATCAAAAAGCAACACATAGAAAAACAGAAGGAATGAGACTAAATATGCTTAATACTGTTCTCTGTCGTCATATCTGTTACTCATTACAAGATCTATCTCTGAAAAGCCTGTCAACTGTCCCCAGGCCAAGAAAAAAGATCATACTTACCCCTTCAAATGGTATGTTCTGATATTTCTAAAGTCAACTCTTTAGAAATGTTAGAATTTGTTCATTTAAAATAAATTATAAAAAGGTAACAACTGAAAGAAAAAACACCTAATTGCTCTCTAAGGGTGGATGCCACACAATAAGACAGACATAAGCACTGAACACTCACCTGTTCCAGAGATCATCATCTTCTCCACCCCATCCCCAAAAGGCATTTGGAAACCCATTGATCTTCTTGAATTGTTCCACTGTCAGGCCACTTACACCACCAAAGAATTCATTGTACGGAAGACTGAAAACAAAAGACAAATTCTGTATTATTAGCTGAACTTATCTAAGTAGCCCTCCCTTTGAACAATATCTTTCAAAAAAACCCCAAGAACCAAAATCTAAGGACATTAACAGATGCTGAATGTATTCACTATGGGAAACTGGTTCACAGATTGATGGTTTTAAGTAACATCTACAGAAGTTGACCAAAATGTTTGCAGTAGCGTCTATAATTTGCATAAGAGGTAACCTTAAACTGTATCTCAAATTAGAATTACCACACACGAAACAAAATTCTATCACATATTCCAGATGGCTGATTTAGACCTATATCTGAAGTGTAAAGTAAAAGCCTCAAACTATTGTATTTTAACACTATTAAACTGAAAAAAATCTTAATAATCAATTGAAAAATAAACCCAAATCAGTAATGCATTAATTCAGTAATTTTAATTCATAATTATATTCTACAGAACTGTTAAAACTTGAGAGGAAAAGTTTAACAGTACCTATTCAACCACAGTGAAATAAATACATAGTTTTTTTAAAAAATCCAGTTTTTAGAGGCTAAACTTTTGAATCAATGTGCTTTTTTGTCAGTAAGCATACAGTAATTACTACCACATATTATTAAGTAATAAGCAGTTGGCCAACACGAACAGCCACTATAGCTACATAACATAACGTACTAAGGCCCTGACAATGTGATTTCCAGTTCTCAAAACACTTTGTCAATCTAAGAAAAAAAAAAAATATTTAAGTATCTGTATTTACTTCCATCAATATTGACTTGCATCCTAACCCAGCAGCTGCTACTGTAAAGTTTGTTCCTCTTTCAGAAACACAATTTCATCAAATAAAAGTAATTGAACAAATTTCTCAGGAGACACTTCCAAATCTGGAACCTTCAAGGAGTTAGGACTATCTACAAAAAGATTTACCATTGTTTAGGACACAATTGCCACACTGAAGGACAAATAACTCCAGAATGCAAGGGGAAAGAAAAAGAAATACACAGTCATGTAATTTCTGATCTCTGTGGAAACACGGGATTCAACCAAATCTTATACATACATTATATATACATTTATCTATTTCATAAACACATATTTTGTAAATATTTATCTGTATTTAGACACTTTATAAATTTTATAAATGTATATATAAATACATGAAGTAGTATATAAATATGTATATGTATAAATATGTAAGAGATTTCATCTTTCTTTATATGTGTTTATGTATATATTTTTAAATACATATAAAATCTTTAAAGGGTTGACTCCTAGTGGTCTGACAACCCGAAGTCCAAACACAGTGTTACATTTTCAATGCATTGCTTTTGAACTGTCAAGTTGACCAGGTTGTCAAGCTGATCAACTTCACAAATAAAAATTCAGGATGGCAAATACATATATGTAGCAAGCAGTAAGCTACAGCTTTATGTGAAGTGATTGGAAGAGTGTCATGAGATAGTGGAGTGTTAAAAAGCAAGTGAAATATCATTAATATAAAAAGGCAGAAGGAAAGGAGGTAACAACACTGCAGGACCTGCTACAGTCATCAAATGTCAATAGAGACTGAATACAAGATATGAAACAGTCTAGCAGTAAGAAAAAGCAGTGCAAAGCAGAAATTAATTGTACATTTATAAGAAAATTAAGAAAGACATTTTTCCTGTGGTATTTTTCTGCAGATTATCTGTTTATCTTTGCTAACAGCCATCACAAAGGCTTATGTAGCCAGAAAAGATTTCTAATAAGCAAGGGAACCACTTGACACACCTACCTTTTTTTTTTTTTTTTTTTTTAAAGATGAACTTCAATGCAACAAGTTCAACATTGACAATTATAAATAAAATCTTCAAATCAGCAACATAGCAAATGTAGACACTAAACTTAAATCTTCCTTTTAATAAGTAGAAATTAATTTCTGTAAATAACAGTAGGAGGCTGTTTTATTGGTTTCACCTACTGTATACACTTTCACAAAATTCATACACACTTTAAGAAACAACATGAATAAAGCTAATTACTTACATGTACATGTATTTGTCCAGCTTTGCTGCAAAATGGCGTGGCATTTCTCCACATCCATAATAATTTCGGTCATTTTCAGGTAAGTGATCCACATCATGAAATATTATGCAGTCCCAGACAGCATCCTTCATAGCCTCTTTGAAGCCAACATTAAAGAGCATTGCACGATTAAAAGGTTGTGTACCTGTCTTCAAACAGAAAACAAAGGAGACATTATAAGAATCAAGAGTAGACATAATCTCAATACTATGAGAAATACACCCTCTACCACACAAAAAAGAGCATGGAAAAAGATGCCTGTTATTCCTCTAA